CATGATTTTATGCAAGATTGCTGCTTATGTCTCTCTCTACACTAGAGCCATGGGGCTTTTTGTTCAGTATAGCAATCATCTTCTATATTGTGTTAAAGCAACAGAGATGTATGTTTAGAACTCAGATAAATATTCCAGATAGGGTATATAGTGTTTCCACTTGCGGTGATGGAATAAGGCTATTCCTTTTATAAATCTCACTATTCAGGAGTACATATGAATAATTCAGTCTGGAGTCTGAGCTCTTCATGTGTTGCCACCTGCTCATTATTCAGAAATTCTGGTTAGTCTGCTGTTGCCCTAGCAACATGCTCAAAATTAGTGTTGCATCTATGGAAAAGCTTTTATTTATCTAGAAAAGCCCACTATCCAATCTGTATTATTGCAGGATGCATCTCAAGTGGATACTCCTAGGTCCCAGCCATAGTTGTTTAAAAAAATAATGTCCTTTTATGAGGCACTAATTGAAATTTCTTCTCTGTTTATTTTTTTTTACTATTCATAAGTATTAAATATGATAATTATTTACCTCAAAGTCCTTTTTGGAAAGCGTCTGACTTCAGTGTGTGATAGTACAGCTATATTATCTCATTTGAGTAGAGATGCTAGGCTGTACAGCTATGCAAGAAAGTAAAAGATCACATGTTACCTTCTGGTGTCTTCAGGGTGCCTTTTTCTCTCCCTCTGTCTCCTACCCTTCTTTCTCTTCCCTCCTTCCTCCCCCTCCTGCCTTTGCACTTGTGAGGTTAACAGTAGCCAAATAGGGATGGCAGACTTAACAAAGCTTGTGAAACTGTTAATGCCACAGCTAAAGGAAAACTCTCACACAACTTCAGGTCTTGATATTAGGAGTTCAATGTGTTCATCTTTCAAAATACACCAATACCATCTACTTCTGGAGTAATATCAAGGAGTAGAGCTGAGGCTCTGGATTTTTTTGGAGGGAGGAAAAATAAGTAGTAAAAATACACAACTCTTCAAATCCTCTATATTGACATAAAGCAAGTAAAAAGCCAAAGCCCGCTCCTACCCTTTATTCTGTGTGGTTCAGATCCACCTTCCATGTTGTGTTGTCCCTTATTCACTTTTCTCCCACAGTTGCTCTCCTTCCCTTTTTTGTATGGGTAGAAGATAACCAAAAAGGTTTCTACCAAATTAGCAAGCCGTAGTCAACCTTTACTTTTACAAAAATATTTATTAGCAGACTCCTCTGAAGTTCTGGATGAGAAGTTTGTGGTTTTTGTTTTTTGGTTTTTTTTTCCTCTGGGGTGGTGGTAGTGTATGCTTACTGACACAAAAGAATGCTGGTAGCCATTACTGCCAGTCTGGAATGTTTTAAGAGTATACAGAGTTATAAAGAGAGAGTATAGTTGGAAAGGGTTTCTGAGAAGTTACAAGCTTTCCAGAAGGCTGGAGTAATATTACTATTTTTAAGAAACATCTAGTTTTGGTTTACAGTGATCTTAAGGGTAATCTAGGCACCTGATAACTAAAGATGCATTAAATGTGAGGTTGTAGAGAAGTATGATAAGGAATAACTGAAGGGAGATCTGTGAGATTACAACTACGTTGCTCTTAGTGTGTTCTAGGTGAACCTTCCCTCTTTCATATCTTTCTAGCTTTTAGGTGTCTGACATCTGAAGCCCTATTCCCATGCTCATAGTTGTTTAGAATTCTTTGGGATGATAACACAACGATTTAAAGTCAACTTTCCAAACATGGATTTTTACAAACATGAGAAAAGGTTTATTGTTTGGGTTTTTGTTATTTCTGTTTTTTGGGGGATAGATGTTATTATTTGGGCACTTCTATTTCAGCTGTCCCTTTGCAGAAATTAACGGTGGTTTAGAATAAACATTTTCTTGCAGATCACTATTTTCTCTCACTTCTCCCTTGTTAAAATCTGATGGTTGCTAGGACTTTTTTCTGGGATAGACAAATGCTTAGTTTTATTGGTAGCCAAATAATGACTTTACCAAAAAAGGTTTGATCCCACTCACCCATCCACCCACGCAAATCTGAAAGCCCTGTATGAATTGCTCATGGTTTCTAGACAACATGGCTTCAAAATCGGTACATTCTAAAGAAAGATTATTTGTGCACCTTGTACCTCATGGAGACCAGCTTTTATTTTACAGGAAAAAATTGTCTGATATTTGGGAGTAAAATGGGGGGGGGGGGGGGGGTCTAACAACACAAGCTTGTTCTGAGTGCTGGTACTTAAAATACATAATATAATTTAAAAACTTTCCTGTTCAGCATCTGAGACTTTCATATATCTGCACCCTATTGTGTCAGTCTGCTTATTCAGCCACTTCTGGGGAAGCAAGAAGTTGGATGAGAATGCATAGAAGGAGCATGTCTAGAACAGACTGTATTCATACCTTGATATAAACTACAGTTCACGAGAAAGTTAAAATTCAAAGACAAACATACGGTGTTCATTAGGCTTGCATGAAGTTGTTATTCTTGAGATTAAACTGACATTTGGTCAAAATTTTTCTTTTAGTTTATTTTTTCTGGACAAGGAAATCGGTTAGTTCATCTGCAGAGAAATTATGAAGGCCTTGAAAGGCCTATAGAAGTCTATTTTAGACTTAACCCAGTGAATGAGAATGGTCAGTAATACAAACAGCTGGGAGTGGAAGGACAGAAGGTTACAGTGATAAAACACATCTGACAAAACTAAGTAACTGACTTTTAGTCTGTAACTAAAAGTTTTTATGACATAGTCTGTCCCTCTTCCTGGCTTTGCACACTGTTTAGCATGAGGCTGCTCTTGATTGTTTGCTTAAACTGCTGAAGTCATGCTTTGTTTACTTTATTAATCAGCAGTGTTTTCTCTAGATGTCGGAAGTCAATCTGTAGTTAAATGTAATCTGAGTGGTTCTTATTCAGGATCATGAAGTTAGGCTAGAGCTTCTACTCGTAGTTCTACGCTGTGTCCAATTCTGGGCTCCCCAGTACAAGAGAGACATGGCACTACTGGAGAGAGTCCAGCAGAGGGCTACCAAGATGATTAGAGGGCTGGAGCATCTCTCCTATGAAGAAAGGCTGAGAGAGCTGGGCCTGTTCGGCCTGGAGAAGAGAAGACCGCTGATCAATGTGTACAAGTGTCTGAAGGGAGGGGGGTGTCAAGAGGATGAGGCCAGCCTCTTCTCCGTGGTGCCAAGTGACAGGACGAGAGGCACCGGGCACAAACTGAACCACAGGGAGTTCCATCTGAACACAAGGAGAAACTTCTTTCCTGTGAGGGTGACAGAGCACTGGCACGGGTTGTCCAGAGAGGTTGTGGAGTCTCCTTCCCTGGAGATGTTCAGAAGCCGTCTAGACACGATCCTGAGTAACGTGCTCTAGAGGACCCTGCTTGAGCAGAGGGGTTGGACTAGATGATCTCCAGAGGTCCCTTCCAACCTAAACCATTCTGTGATTCTGTGATAGTGCTTTCTTTTTTCTTTTTTTTCCATCCCACTTCATTAAGCATGACCTTAAGGACCAGAATTAATGAAACAGATGACTGCTTAATAACTGTAGGATTTTCTCCTACCAAAATTTGCTTTCTGTTGAGTCTTCCTCACTCTTCTTAAGAGCCAAGACTAGAATTACCTGGTTGTGGAGGGAAGATTCTCACATCTGATCAACGTGTGCAAGTATCTGAAGGGAGGGTGTCAAGAGAATGGGGCCAGACTCTTCTCATTGGTGCCCGGAGATAGGATGAGAGGCAATGGGCACAAACTGAAACACAGGAAGGTCCATCTGAACATGAGGAAAAACCCCTTTCCTGTGAGGGAGACTGAGCACTGGCACAGGTTGTCCAGAGAGGTTGTGGAGTCTCCTTCCTTGGAGATATTCAAAACCCGCCTGGACATGATCCTGTGCAACGTGCTCTAGAGGACCCTGCTTGAGCAGGGGGGTTGGACTAGATGATCTCCAGAGGTCCCTTCCAACCTTGTCCACTCTGTGATTTGGAGAGAATTTATCTTTCAGCGCCTCATTCACCCTGTGTTCCCAAAAGCGTTCCTTCCACATTCTTAGTAATACCTTTTATTAACTGTGAGAGATGCTTTTTTTTTTTCTTTCTTTTTTTCTTTGAAAAGTCTGGTCATGTGAAGGTTACTCTTTTTATAGAAATTATAAATAATATGACATGTATGTAACACTCGTAACTCTAGGTATAAGTGAACATTTGGTGTTTTTAAAGTATTTACCTAGTAGATTGTTACAGGGGTACTCGTGAGAGTTTTTTTGTCTGATATTCTGTGGATGCTAAAAGTATTTTTCCCAGCTTTTATTTATTTATTTCCTAGCATACTGGACTTAGGCTTTTTATTTGTAGTCTTTCATGGACAATCATCCCCACCAAAGGGACATTTACACGTTTAGTATCTGTTGCCCAGAAGGCACGGGAAATGTAATTGCATTTAGTCTTTAGGACTAGCTGCGTGTAGCCTGAGGTCTACTGTATTTAGGTCTGTATGTCACTTTGTCAAATTTTGTAGCAATAGCTAATTGGTGATTAGTTTCTAAACATTAGTAAAATTGGTTCTTTTATGCTAGTAACAAAGAGGGTATATTTCATTTCTTGGAAGAAAAATAAGAACAGAGAAAGATATTTATTGTGGCTTCATCCTTATGCTTTCTAAACTGTACTTATGGTGCAAATGAATGAAATTGCAGGACTTGAGAGTAAGGGGGTTTTTTATAGTGAGATCACATGAACTAAATACAGAGTAGGCATTCATGACCACTCTGGACTAATGTCATTTCTCCAAGGGCAGAGATCAAGATATTTCGTTCTGTTCAATCAAATGTCTTGATGCTTACTAGTGGTTCAGAAAACATAAATCAGTAAAGTGGATAAAATTCAGAGCGTGATCAGAAAAAACTTCGTGTGGAACCTTTATGTGTGTGTAGATGTACCAAACATTACTAATGCTGTTAATTGTGTTCCTTGAGCAATTTCTTATTTAACTGAGAAAAGTTGTTCTTTTTTCCTTTAGGTTTATAGATGAACTTCATTTTGCAATTCTGGTAAGTGTTCTACTTAAGGTATCCCATTCTAATCTTGTTTTCTTTAGTAAAAGAAGTGCTCCTTTTTGGGGTATGGGGTTTTTTGTTTGTTTGTTTTTGTGTGTTTGTTTACCTTTTTTCTTCAGTGTCTTCTTGGTCTAGAAGCCTACTTTTTAGCTCTTTCTTTGTGTGTCTTGGAAGAACTCATTGACTTTCTCTTCAGCCTTTTTGCTAAAAGCAAAGCCTACAGTTAAAAACATTTCAATCTTTTTTAGCCACGTGCCTCCTCCAGGAGTTTGTCCTTCTTTTTCTGCTCTTGCAATGTAAAGGCCTGTAAACGTCATGAGTTTTTCTTGAGGAATATAGAGCCTTTGTGTCACTAATGCCTGTCTCCCAAGTGTATCTGATGTAACAGAGCATACTATCTTTTGGGGGTTTTTGGTCAATTTGCTTTACTGTCTGTGTGTAAACTCATGTTCAGATTTTAAGGAAACTTAATTCGGGGTGGTTCAGTCTCTTTTGTAGGTCACATACCAGTTTTGGGGCAACTTTTGAGGCAACTTTGTCCATTTAATAGGTTGTATAATATTTCCCTGAATTATATATATATAAAAAGTGAAGATGACAATTTCCACAATCCCTTATTCATATTTAGTCTTTCAGTGCAACTAACATAGAGGGTATGTATTCTTTTGTCAGGAGAATTGTTTTCGAAGTGGCTGTGTGACACATCTTCACTCTTCAACGAGCCTAGAGAATCCTTCCTTCTTTAGCAAGCATCTGATCGCTTCCTAGATGATTTCTCTCTTAAATAACCGTTCTGTGTGTTTGATGAGCTGTATTTGTTGTATTACTTTGAAATTTAAATTGAGTCGAAACTGATATTTGCATATCTGTTTTGGAGATTATAATGCCTATTTTGTCAGATAGTCTTTTAGCATGTGTAATTGGGTGTTTAATAACACAGATAAAACTTACACATGCTTCTAGTTGAAGATCAACTAACTCAAGGTCACTAATGCACTTGTAAACTAGCACTGAGCACTCTAACTCCTGTTCCCAGGATGTAAGTTTTTTATTTATTCCAAGCGTATTCTTTGTGTGTTATCTTATTGAGAAGTCTTACAGACATTATTTTTACTATATATTCAGTCCAAATTATTCTCCTACTTCACATATTATAATGAGTTATTTCTATATTCTTTAACACATGGCTGGGTTTGGCATAATCTCTGTCTAAAGACATTCATGAAGCTGTAGACACAACATCAAATAACCATCCATGCAGTTTGGGGTAACTTGTTTCCTGCCTAACTTCTGTTTTCCCTCTTAATATTGAGCACAGAAGCACTGAAGACTATTTTAATGTTAAGCTGAAAATTCTTTCTCAGCTCTTTGAGAAACATTGATCCTTGTAGGCATTGGTGATTTTTCTCTGGTTTCATTGTAGTGCTTGTAAACAAGCCTCTGTGCAGTTATGATAACTAGACCTATGTTTTGGGATCTCCTACCATAGACTGCCACTATCTTTTTTTCTTTCATTCCCCCTCACTTCACCATTCCTTTCTCGTCTCCCACTGTAATACAATCTGTCACTAAAAAGCATACCTTCCTGCACCAACCTATCTGGGACAGCAGCAACTGTACTTTGAATGAGTAAGCTAATCAAATCTGTCAGTGAGCCCTGTGTTAGATGGAATGGCGTTATCTAGATCAAAAAAAAACTGTAGTCTGTATACGTGAAGCCATGGCCTGGGGCACAATGAAAGCGATAGCTGACTTGCATGCTAAGATGAGGCGGTAACTGTTGAGCACAGGAGAGGTATTGTCAGCCATTACCTCGAGCATGGCATGTGTAAGAAAGACTAGCTATTCCAAGAAGCTGTTGTCTCTAGCTGAAGGAAAAAGGTGTAGCACTTTCTGTGTGATCCTGCTGGTCAGAGGTGACAGCTGAGACACATGGAGTGTGCTCTGCTGCCATTTGCAGCCAGTAGGAATGGAGGCTTTGAAGATGCAGCACAGAAGGGAGGAGAGGAAGAGTATAAGCAGCACAGGAAGATTTAGAGCTGTCATGGCCTGTAGCAGTCTAGGCACCAAAAGAGCTATTCTGTTTTTTCCCTTGTCACTCAAAAATATATGATCCTGATCTCCTGTTTACCAGGAATGATGGCCTTCCAAGATCCCACCTCCCTTCTGTGGAGTCTCCAAATGAGAAATGCTGCTCCTGTTTCCCTACTAGCCTTACTTGACATGCAAGATTCTTCAGAGATGTAGTTAGAAAACTATAAAAGTGAGGATTGTTTCTCTGCAGTAGTACTGCTGAGTGTCATGCTAATGCTACGTGTGAGGTAGTGATAGCTTTCTTCTCCATGAGAAACTACAGATCCCTGGTCAGGACACTGGCTTTGGAAGTATGTTAATTAATGTATCGCAATAATTGCCCTTTTTTTTTTTTTCTTGCCCCTCCACTTTGAAAATACTTTTCACCCTTATTTGGGTGCTGATGGTCGTTATGTGCTAGTCCAGAAAACACTGGCATGGCAGTATGAAAGCCATGGTCACAACTGTTTATTTGCTGGCGTTGTGAACCAACTTTTTAATCGGTTGGAAATAAGTGTTTTGAGAGGAAATTGTTACCTTTACAGTATGAGCAGTTTTGTACTACTTACTTGTGTCAAACACCAGAATTTCTTTTAGTGTAGTATAAACTTTTATTTGGGGAGTAGTCTGACTATTTTAGAGAATGTTAATGGAGGAAGTGATTAAAATCTGTACAGCCTTTTTATAGCACATTCATAGCTTTACAGAGCTTTTGCATTGGTTGCTTACGACTTGCTAACGAGGAGCTCAGTTTGAGTTCTGCGCTTTACAGTGGCTTGGCTGGGTGTCACTGGCAGCGCGGTGCCCAGCTGTTGATTTTTCTGTTGTCTCGGAGCTTCAGCAAGTGCCTTAGCAGACTGCTTCTGCACGGCCCTATGAACGCCCCAGTGATCAGCTAAGCGTGTCTGTGCAGTAAGCTCTCTAAAGGAGCAGCACTGAGCCCTCTATGGAAAGCATGTCTTCGGTCACTCCGCATAATGAGACGAAATGACAATATGATGCAGGTATGTGAATTCTGAAATAGAGTATTTAAATAATATTCTGAAAGTAGAGGAATAAAATGTCTATAGACAAATTTGATTGCATTTTTTCTCCGCTAAACCCATTTCAGGCCTAATCAATGAGCAGAGAGATTATTGTCCTTAAATCTTTTCTTAAAACATTGACTTTAAAAATAGTGCTTTTTCTCCTATCATCTGGCTTAATAAAGATATTTTTGCTGATTTTTATTTACTTGGATGCTTATATTAAGATTGAAAAACCATTGTAAAGTCTTCTGCTAAGACAAGACAGTTTACTTATAGCTCCCTCTACTTTTGCAATCTATTTTTTCTTTATAGTTTTTCTGTTATCTCCGTTCTAACAAGGAAATATAGTTGAGATTAAAATACTTTTTATAAAGATATTAAGATGCTTTGAACTGAAGAATAGACTTCAAATCAAGATAGCAAGGTTATTTACAGCAGGCTGCACAAAAATGTTTTTTTTCTTATGCAGGACACTGACTTTTTTGTGGATCAAATTCCCTTTGAGATAACAAGTAATTTTTAGGTGGTTATTAAAAGTTATGACAGTTGATTTAATCAAGTTCATTTATCTCTTTAAAAAAAGTTAGGGCACTAACAAGTCAACCCTCAGAACTGTTATGGCTTTATTATAGACCATCGAAAATACACTGCTGAAGGACTATTTTTTTTCAAGTTTATTAGGTTATAAATGGCAGATCAGAATTTTAAAACTGCATGTCTAATAGGAATAATCAACAGACTTGTTTTTAACTACAGCTGATATATGTATGCATCTTATCTGACAACACACAAATGAAAGTATTGATGTTGGCCCATGGAAAGTTGCATGTGGGTTGTTGGGTTTGGTGTGGTGCCTGGTTTCTTTTTGTGGGGGGTGATTTTTTTTTTTTTTTATGGGGAAAATGGTGTCTATTATATTTTAAGCATTTGCTTTGTAACTTTTTTGATTACCAAACCCCTTTCATAATCTTTAGTATCTAGGGCCCTGAACAGAATCTTTCATCTGTCCTGTTAACTCTAAGAGTCTATTTTTTACCACCCGCTGTTGGAATTGAAAACTTAAAGCATCTTTTTCCAGGGACGTTTTTTCATATTCTTATGGACGTAAAGATCAGAGGAAAAATGTAAACTCATGCTAAATTCAGGTTTTAGTCTTAGAACGTATAAGCATTTCTTGTTAGAGGCTGCATGCGGCTCTAGGTGGCTGTTTTGAAATGAAGGTTTGGATTATCAAGAAAGCTGCTAAGTGTTTGAAAGCTATCCATTGAAAATGGTCACAGGCAATACTTCTATATACCCATTTAAAATAAGATTTTTTTTTTTTTCAAAGCATTACTGCGAAAATCAATCTTTGAATATTTTGAGATTTTAGTTTTATTTCTGTATTATCTGAGGATAAGGACAGGCATATACTTTATCTGATGTTACATGTTTGATCTGAATGACTGTGATCTAAAAATATTAAAAGGAAACTCTACGTGACCGTACTATACAGTTTTGTATTGTGCACTGTGGTATCACAGCTTGTTTCATGGAATTGTTAGAGACTTTTTAAATATATATTTGAAAATAAGGATAAATTATATGAAAAATTAAAATTAGGTAAGACAATGAAAATAACTGATATAGGAGCACTGGTAAGCATGCGCTTTGGATGAAAACAAGGGGAGAAAGGGAAGAGTTGTGGTTTATATGAAACAAAATGGCGTGAAGTTGGGGAGAGCGCTCGTGTGGAATCATGGATGTGGAGCTGTCTGTACATCTGCAGCAGAGCTCCCAGACTAGAAGCAGCTTAAGAGATAGGAGTAGTTTTTCTGCTGTCAGTTAGGTTTCTCTGAACGGTGTAAGCTAAGCCAACAAAATCTTTTGTCAGCATAGCTGTATCTATAGAGC